TGGTGTGAATTTCCCCGATAGGTTGTTGGTCTTCCTGATTACGAGGTGGTTCTAGCGCCTGTTCCCTACCGGCAACATACTGGAGTAGGTGACCCCGTTAGATGAGCTCCTCAATCTGCCTCTTGAGGTCATAGCAATCATCGGTGTCATGACCATGGTTGCGATGGAAGTGACAATACTTGTTTGAGTTCCTTCGATTTGGGGGAGACTTCATTTTTCCAGGCCACTTTATTGCAGGGTCATCCTGGATCTGTAATAGGATGTGCCTGATGGCGACATTGAGGGGAGTGAAGGCTTGTCGATCTCTCTGGGGGGCAGGATCGAGCCAATCTTTGGCAGCTACTCTTTCTGTCCTGCTACGCTTGTTATTATTCTCCTTCTTATTGTCTCTATCTTTTTCTTTTTCTTTTATTTTCTCTCCAGCTCTAGAGGACTCCCCTTGTCTAGCCCTTGTAATGTTCTCGACATTCATGTATTTTTGAGCCTTTGCCAACAACTCTGGCATACTCTTCGGTGGACGCTTCATTACAGAGAAAAGAAAACTTGACCACCAGAGGCCCCCTAGGAAGGCGGTCATGCTCACCTTATCATCGAGTTTCCCGACCTAAAGGACCTCCTCGTTAAAACGAGTGAGGTAGCTCCTCAGGTTTTCATCTCGGTCCTGCTTTATGCTGAGCAGGTGGGTGACAGTTTTCTAGTGGCGGCGTCCTCCAATGAAGTGTGACACAAAAGACCTACTTAGTTTAGGAAATGTGCCAATGGAGGCTAAGGAGAGTTTGGCGAACTATTGCCGAGTGGATCCCTTCAAGGTGGTTGGAAACGCTCTGAACATGATTTCGTCTGGGAGGGTGTGCAGTTGCATCAAGGTTTTAAAAGTTTCAAAGTGGTCCAATGGATCCTTCGTACCGTCAAAGGTCTCAACGGACGGCATCTTAAATTTTTGGGGAGTGGGTAGTTTGCCACGTCAGGTTTGAAAGGTGTGTCAGTTTGACTTACGAGGTAGTCTACTGTCTCGGGGCCCTGCGCCTTCATGGTGTTGAAGACGTTACTTAGCTGATTTTGCACCTCTTTAATTTTTTTATCCCATTGATTGGGATGAGGTACTTTGGAATTACCACGGAAATGGCTTTCATACTCCATATTTTGGTTTTCACCCTCGTCCTCTTGGAGATGAGGGTCTTCACCATAGGGAGCCGGAGCAGGGGCTGGAGGAGGAGGTCCCTCATGGTGAGCCCCCCTGTGTGGGGCGCCCAAGGGAACTCCCAAAGGGGGGCGCCTGGATGGGGAATGCCAAGGTGAGGAGCTCCTTGATGACTAGGGAGTGGAACTTCCCCAGCTTGAGGTCCAGGGAGGGTGTGATTTAGAATAAGAATTATCAATTATTATTGTGAAAACCTTCACTAAATTGAAGCATTTGAGCCGTTGATTTCTCTAATCAGAACTAAACCGGAAGTATCCACCTTCTAAGAACCACATACGTAGAATTGGCAGAACAATTCCACTTTGCAATAGAATTTTCCAGAGCTTCTATAGTAGAGGGAAGATTGGTGTGTGGGCTACGACTTCAATTTCTGGTGGAGATGGTCTGCCGGGTATTCTATCATCAATGATGGTGAGCTTTTTTCGGTACATTGCCGGTAATGTATTTCGGTGTGGAGCTAGTTTTCATAGAGAGAGAAGGGGGAGGGGGGAGTTAAACGGAGGTAGGTGGTCTGGTCGTGGTAGTGGAGAGAGGAAAAAGACAGAAGATTGAGATGTGGACGAGGGACATTTTTGCCATTTTCAATTGGCATTTTTTCGTACCGTTTCTCACATGATCCGTTAAAATGGATGGAAAATATAACAGTGCTGATTAGTTCACTAACGACATGGGATTAGGTGGCTTTTTTTTTGCCCTAAATAATACATGTGGATCACTATAAATGCTTGCTTTCTAGAAGCCCAACTTTTCTTTTAATGAGAATTCATGCGAGATGAGGAGGTTTCGGATTGAATGTTCTTACAAGAATGGTAATTGTATGCGAAGGGGGTGCTCCCTTTATCAGGGCGGAGCTAGGATTTTATCCTAGTGGGGGTAAAACTATAAATAAAAAATATAATCAGCTTGTATTAAAAAAATTTTTGCATCTCCATTAATAATGACTAAATTAAGTGCATATTTCACACAAAAAATTCCTTAGTTCACCTATGAGAAGTATGTTAAGATCAAAGATTTAATTACAGAATGAAAATTAAAAATAAAAATTAATTCAATGTGAACAAACAAAAATAATAATATTTTTATTGCACATTTCAACGCACTCCTATATTAAAGAGAAACACAGCAATGTTATTTCAAATTCCAATAATTGTCTATAATTGATCAAATCTAAAAAGATATTTCCAAATAATTTCTTTTAATCTTGTTGAGAAATTGATGTTTTTAAAAAGGCATAAACACTTTTAGTTTAACACATTTTATCATTTGCTATATATCTATTGATTGTGTTACTAGGTTTTGAGCTACTAATTTAAAAAAAAAAAAATTGAATTAGGGACAACCACATAATTATTTTTTAAAAAGTACAAGGAAGTGTATTAAATTTTTTAGAAAATTAAAGGGGCAATAAGTTAAATAGATCATAATTTTGTTGCTATCACTGTATATATTTGTTAATTTCTCAAAAGTCAGTGGGGGCACTATTAAATTATTCAGAAAATTAAGGGGGCAATAAGTTAAATGGATCATAATTTTGTTGCAATCACTGTGAATATTTGTTAATTTTTCAAAAGTCAGTGGGGGCAACTGCCCTCATACATCTACACATAGCTCTGCCCCTGCCCTTTATTAACGCATGTCATAGTGTTAAATGATCTCACATAAAGGTGACAAGACCAGTCATGTGAGGAAGACATTACTAGACTGTCATCAAATAACAATCGAGCTGAGGAATCCTAATTTCAGATATTCACATCATTGGGATGTGTGGAATATGACCTAGAACTGTCAATCTTTGAAGCAACATTTAGAAGAGTTGGTCCTGGTGGGACATCTTGCACAGTTCATTAAGGATGGACGTGATAAAGTTAATGGTGGAAGAATTAAACTTCAAGGGGACCAAACCGCCGCAGTAGGTGTAATCGATGTGATCCACGCTACAACGAATTCCCAAATGGCAACCAATAATGTTGCAAAGGCATACATCTAGAGAGCTACCAAGGAGAGAGAATTCTATCAACTGAGATTATCCCTAGAGGTTAGGAGCAAGAGAATGAAGTTAGAAGAGGCGACCAAAACCATATGTTTCTCCGAACAGGATTTGATCGGAATCCATCAACCACACAATGACGCACTGGTGGTCACCCTTCGAATCGCAAACTATGATGTAAAAAGGGTATTGATTGATCCAGGAAGTTCTTCAGAGATCGTGTACATGGGCCTCTTTCAAAAACTCGGGCCCAGACAAGAGGACCTCAAGCCAGCCAATACCCCTTTGGTCGGCTTCAGCGGAAAAATTGTCCTTCCAAGGGGAAAAATCACACTTCTAGATAAGACTAGCCTTGTTGGGGTCCTGACTGAATTTCTTGTAGTAGACACGACCTCGGCATACAATGTTATTATGGGTCGAAATTGGTTGCACGAGATGAAGGCAGTACCATCAACGTACCACCACATTCTTAGATTCCCCTTTGCAGAGGGAATAATGAACATTCGAGGAGACCAAGTAAGTTCAAGAACCAGTTTATTGGCTTCGGTAAAGGGAAGAGATGGTGGAGAAGCACGAGACGGGGGCTTAACTCCCAAAACCATGAAATAGCAACCAACCCTCGATAAGTCGATCGATAGAGAGGAGGAACTGACCAACTGAACTATCGAGGTTAGGCCTAAAGTACCTTTAGGCAAGGAGCAAGAGCAAACCGACCAAACTACAGATAATTTGTCCAGAATACCACTAGACCGAGAAGAAATGTCAGAAGACTGAACCATCGAAGGCTTTTCTAAAATACCTTTAGACACAGATGACGAAAAATACTACCTTCTAGGAGCCTCCCTAAAGATCGAACAGCGTCAGGAGCTCATTTCACTGCTAAGAGAGTATTTTGATGTATTCGCATGGATGAATTATGAAATGCTTGGCGTTCTGCCAGAAGTGGCGTGCCATTAACTAAATGTTGACCCCAGTTTTAAGCCAGTAAAACAAAAGTTGAGAAAGTCGGCACCACAACACCAGGAGGCGATAAAAGAAGAAGTAGCTTGATTGTTAGAGTCACAAACCATCAGGGAGGTTCAATATCCGACTTTGTTGTCAAATACTATAGTCGTCAAGAAGAAAAATGGGAAGTAGAGGGTTTATGTCGACTTTACTGACCTCAACAAAGCATGTCCAAAAGATAGTTTTCCTTTATCGAAGATAGATCAATTAGTTGATACAACTATCGGTCATGAACGGATGAGTTTCTTAAACGCATACCGAGAATATCATCAAATCCCTCTTATCGAGCAAGATCAGGAAAAGAATTCCTTTATAACACCTAAAGGGACCTACTGTTACAAGATGATGCCTTTTGAGCTCTAGAATGCAAGAACGACCTATAAGAGACTGATGATGAAGATGTTTTCCCACATGTTGGCATACTCCTCATCAGTAGACTCTTTCTTCGCCAAGGCTGGTGCTCGGGCATGAATGGCGTCCTTCATGGTTTTGTCTTTTCTTGCAATCTTAGCCCCCACTAAATGGACTTTTTGTAGCCTCTACAGGATAAACAAAAAATCATAAGTCTAGTTAAAGCTCAAACTACTCAAAACTAAGGAGAACAAGGAAAAAGAATTACCATAACCATTTGCTGGATTGCTTGTCGAGTAATTTCATAACCAAACAAAGCCTCATTTGTGGCTAAGTCTCGTGGCAAAATCACCCCTAGCAATCCAAACTGCTACATTGAAGTCTTCAGCAGTTGATTCCTTTACGTTGATCCCTCTCCTTTTGGCCTTCAAAATGGGCCTTAAAAAAAGAGATCACTGGTTCAGAAGGGCTAGCTTCAAATTCCAAAGCTTTGCGTTTTTTGGAGGCTGGCTCGACTTCTGGATCAGGCACAAATTCAGAAGGTACAACAGAATCTTGAATTGGTTCAATTGGAGGAGAAGGAGGTGCCTCAATAACAGTGGTCAGTTCGGGTAAAATATTGGGAGAGGTTGGAATCACATCACCCGAAGTAGCCTCTGTAGGGACCTCTGAGGGCGGCTCAATAGAAATTGTTCTGATGGGGCTCTCAAGATTGAAAAGCTCTTGAACATAAGTTGTCGGTTCAGTAGAAAAGAAACTCAAAAAATTCCTGACCGGCCTAGCTTTGGCTGAAGGGCCAGAGGAAGACTTTTTTTCGAGATCGAGGTGTCAGATCCTGAGCAGCTTGAATGGATTATCGGTCTTTAGCTAATGTGGCATTTGTTTGGAGAGGGACTACGATGAAGGACATGTAGGTTGGGTTGTAGCCGAAAAGAGTGTGTGCGGCTTGGCAAAAAAGTGACCCATTGAAGTCCCACACTCTTTTCAATTCGTCCATCTTCACGACTTGCTCTGGAACTCTTCCTTTCACAGTTTCACCTTCAAAAAGGAAGACAACATTAAATTAAAATGACGGAAGAATGCACTAAGAGGTTAAGTAAAAACGTCAATCACCTAGTGCGCCTTCCTCGTAAGGGCATCGATAGGTGGGAGTAGCACAAACTGCGTACTCCCAATTCCCAGAAACAAACACCACATCATTCTCATGGCCCTTGTTCGAATCTAGAAGATGGGTCACCAGATAGTGGTCCTTCTTCCTTACAGCCAGGTAATAGGTGTCTCCGGCAAGCTTGATAATGTAGCAGTAAAGGATCTCCCAAAGGCCAAGACTCAGATTCAACAGTCTATTGAAAGCAGTCACACCCATAACGATTCTGAAGAAGTTGGGACAACACTGAATGTGACAGAGCTTCATTGCACAGAACACCTAGAGAAGAAGGAGGTCAAGAGGAAAACGAACCCCACCTTCTATGATTGCTCTAGTGTGAATAGGGATGCATTCTCTAGTCCCAATTAGGGGCTCATCAGCACCAGCAACTTGAACCTCAATGTTGTCAAGGATTTGATACTTTTTTCTGAAAGCAGGAATCTCAGAGGGCATTAGAGGAGTCATAGCATAGAAGAAAGAAGAGAAGGTAGTGAAGAAAATAATTCATAGAGTAGGAAAGAGAGGGATCGTGTAGGAAGAAGAAGACAAAAGGTTCACTTAAAAAGGAGTAAACGAAGTTCAAGAAACGATGTTCAAATGCAGGAGACGCTGCCAAAACAAAGGGGCATGTCCCAAATAGTACGTGCAATGATGGATTGGAGGCATGAAACGACTGACAGATGAAAAAAGCCTGTCACACGTTTTCTGGGGGCAAATGAAGAGGGTGCTTCCTTTATCGACACGTGTCATAACATTAAATGATCTCACGTGAGGGTGATAAGACCAATCACGCTTGTGATCAAATAACAATCGAGCTATTCAGAAAGCTCGAGAAGAAAGGAATGAACTCAGTTCTCGTCATGACCGAGCTGTTTAAAACAGTAACGTGATACTGAAGAGATGCCTATAATTCAGGCATTCTGGTTAAATGAATGAGCATGATCATAGGCTTGGTACAAGGAATTGCTTGAGAGATCTCAGCAACTTCCTAAACAGAATCGCCTGATTAAAGAAAGATGTACCATCTTGAGTCAAAAATCATGGAAACCTTAATTGAAAGAGAGACTATAAAAGGCATAAGGGGCCAAGGTTAAAGGTACGTTGAACTCTCCTTGTCTTCTCACTGTTTACTTAAATCCATTACTGACTTAAATATCAGAGTGCTTTTGATCGAAGCACTTCGATCTTGGACAATTTGTTCGTTTTGTAGGAGGGAAAGACTTGGAAAACAAGTTCAGAGATTACTCTCAAAAGAGATCATTCATTTAACCATGTAGGATGTATTCTCGTTTTTTTACCTCTTATAGTATGTTTATCTAATTTTTTTCGTAAATCTATATTCTTTCAATCCCATTAAACTCTTAATTTTAAAACTACCAAGTTTACATCTTCTATACTCACTCTTACTAAGTTTACCCATTTTATTATATATATGCACCCCACTAAGGGCTGCCCACCATAGTCCTTATGTGAATTTGCCACTGTTGAAAATCACTCTTGCCCATTAGGAATCAATTATTAACTAATTCATCTGCAAAATGGAATCTGCAACAGTGGATTTTCCTCTCCAAGCATGACTAAGAATATATGCATTTAGTAGAGGTTTCGTGAAAAATAATGATTAGATGAAGGATGAAAGGCGACTTCTGGCTTATAATTAGTTATTGGGTCGCTAAAACTACACCTACCACTCCCCTTGTATCCTTCTCCCAAACCCTCTCATAATTGGGCCCCACTTTTTCAAAATAGCTTTGATGTCTCCCTTCATTTTTGTCGATTGCCTCTTGCTTCAAACTTCTCTTTGGTTAGAGGCTTCTACTCCGTTTAATAGGAAGGATGGAAAATAAGAGGGATACACTTTCTATCTTTCAAGGAAGGAAAGTAAGAATGATACATTTTCCTTCCTTTGTGTTTGGTAGGATGGATGAAAAATAAAAATGACTAAATTTTTTTTTGTTCTGGCTAAGATTAGGGGTGACAATCGAGTTTGTGTCATTATAAATAAACGGGTTGATGGTGTCAATTTTGAGATTGACGGGTTGAACTAAATATGAGCCTTTTATATTTCTTGTTCGCGTTTTAGGTCATTTTCAAGTTCGTGCCGAGTAATAATCAAGTTTATGTCATAAAATTCGTATCGAGTTTGAGTCATGTCATCGTGTTGAGTCGAAAATTTTCACCCCTAGTTAAGATGAAAAAATTATTTTTTTAATTTTAATTAATTTTTTATTTTTTAATTTTTATTTTTAAATTTATTTTTTAAAATTTTTAAAATATATATATAAATACATATTTTATCATTATATTTTTATAAGAAATTAATATATGCATAATATATGTATATTTTAAATGATATATACACAAATAAGATACATTTCAATACAAATAATTAATTTTCTATTCACTTTCCTTCCGATTTTGATGAGTTCAAAGGAAAGTTAATCTATCTACTTTTTTATCCTTCTTATTTTCCTTCCTTATCAAATATGATGTTTTATTTATCTCTCAAACTTTCCATCCTTCCATTTTTTTCATCATACCAAATGGAGCAATCGTCATAAAGATTATGGTATTAATATTTTTTTTAAAGTTGTGTTTGTTAACCCAAATTGAGCACTTAAAATGAATATATTTAACACTTATTAATTAAGCCCGTTTAATAACTAAAATTTAAATTCTCTTGATATGTTAACTGCTCTTTAAAAATAGGTTACAATATTAAGTAAGAGATCTCTTACTTAATTCTGAAAGCTGAAAGCGTTCAGCAAAATCATCTTTAATAATATTTACAATAAAACAATTATACCCAAAAATATTTTACAATCCTATTAAAATTCTAATTAGTTTTCTCTTTAAAATCCCAAACCTATATATTCTCCTTGTCAGTCTTTTTTTTTTTTCTTTGTCTTCTGTAATAAAAATATACATACATAATTATAATTACACACACAAACGCACGCACTGCACACACACAATTACACACATGCATATGCACACACCCACACATACTTACGCGCACATACACACGGCTCATACACATTGTTAATAAAATCTAATTTATTGTATTTTTTTAATATTATTTGATTATTTATTAGTTGTTGTTCTTTTTTTTATTAGATGTTATTGTTCACTTATTATGTTTTTTAATTTGTTATTGTTCACTTCTTGTGTTATTCAGATGTTATTCATTTATTTATTTTGATCAAATATTTGTCAAATGTAGATTACAATATAATAATAGTGATTATGATTTATGTTATGACTTTTTTTATAAATATTTTCAAATTAAATAGTAGAAGGATAAAACTGAAAATTAATTTATTTTCAGAAGTGAGCTCTATGTAGTTATCAAACAGTTTAGTTCAATTCAGTACTTAAATTTCAGTGAATACCAAACAGTTCACAAATTCAGCATTCCACATTCAACTTTCAGATTTCAGTTTTCAGTTTTATTAAATACCACCTAAGTATCATATGGAAAAAGAAATGAGCTGACCAGGTCACGAGTGATTTATCTCTCATAAATATTTTAGTCCCAGTATAGATAGTTTGACTTTGATTTAATTGGAAAGAGATTAGTCAAAATCCGTATTAATTGGTACAAAAACCCTTAACCATTGAACAAAAAAAAAATTCCAGTTATAAATTTTTATTTGATTATTTTGTAATTTTTAATTATAAAAATAATAAAAAAAAAACAAATTTTTACACATGTCGTATTTTTATTTGGTGGTAGTAGTTGCACCCGGGATGGGGAATTTAGCTTCTTTTAATCAGACCCCCTCTCTCAACCATAGTCCAGACCTTCAAAACCATCCCAAAATTCTCTCTCTCTCTCTCTCAGACCGGCATACAGTCACACACACACCCCTCGAAAGATGAAGGACAATGTCAATGGTGGCACAAAGCTAATTCTTCTTCATCCCTTCATCCAAAAACAAGGAAGTTCCAACAATCTATGGCTTCTAGCTTTCATTTCATTCTTCACTCTAGCATTCCTTCTCACCCTCATCTATACTAGAGAATCCATCACCACAACCACCCACGCCGCTGCCTCGGCAGCCATGGCCTCCGGCAATCCTCCAATATCAAAAACTATCGTTAAAGCTCTTGTCCACTACGCTTCAAACTCTAACGACACCAATCACATGTCACAGACAAAGATCAAACAAATCTCCGAGGTCCTCCGACAATGCTTATCTTCCAGTAACTTCCTTGTTTTCAGCCTTACACCCGAAACCCTTCTCTGGAAAGCCCTCAACGACAATAGCCGTACTGTTTTCATCGATGAAAACTGGTATTATGCAGCGTATGTGGAGGAAAAATACCCAAAAATTGAAGCCTATGATGTTCAATACACAAACAAAATGAGTGAAATGAGGGAAGTTATTGCAATAGTGAGAGAACAAGTGCGCAATGAATGCAAGCCAGTGCAAAACCTATTGTTTTCCGAGTATAAGCTTGGGCTTAATGACCTTCCAACCAATTCTATGATGTGGATTGGGATATTATATTGGTGGATGGGCCAAGAGGGCACTGGCCTGATGCGCCTGCCGGATGTCGGCGATTTTCACCGCCGACGTGCTGGCGAGGAGCAAGAAGGGTGGTAACCCTAAAACACATGTTTTTGTGCATGATTTTAATATGGAGGCAGAGAGTTTCTAGTAAGGAATTCTTATGCAAAGAGAATTTGGTGAAGTCTAAAGATTTTCTTGGGCATTTTGTGGTGGAGAGAATGGATGTGAATAGCTTTTTGTTCTGTCGCAACCATTCATTAGCATTAGCCTCATCATCCTAAAGATTGTTATGATGATCATCGACAAATAATTAGCTATAGTCCCATTGTGGGTCAATGTTTTTAAGGGATAGAAATCACTACGGAATTTCAGCCCTCCAGTAGAAGGATTCTGGCAATTGCTAGTGGGTACCTCCTCCTTTGAGTGCAAGAGCTTATATGCGAGGGGGAAAGACGACTCTCTTCTGATATAAGACAAGTTACTGCGGGCCGAAGAGAGATAAAGGCTACTAGGACTCGGTGCTGCCAGGTCAGCCGAAATCCTTCGAGTGGAGGGTTGAAATTCCGTAGCGATTTCTACCCCTTACAATGTTATAAAGAGGTGAATTTGATTATTTATGATCTGTCAAGGTTTTACCTTTTTGTTAGTTTTGGGGCATGTAAAAAAAAAAGCTTTTTGATACTGGAAGGATTTTAATTTCACTGAAGGAGAAGGAATAGTTTGTCATTTAGATGAGTTTATTTATTTATTCAGTATCCAAATGGAGAAATAATATATGGGTTATTAGACTTCAAACAATATGGGTCACTTAAATGGTAGAATTTATAAAGGATTTGATTACATTGCACAATTTGTCATGGTCATGCCTGGCTCAACCACCAAAATAATTGATTGGTAAGCAAAACTACCAAAATCGTAAAAGATCTTTTGATGGTGTGGTCAAAGAGATAAGCAGAACTTGTGAATCATACGAAAAAGAGTGGGCCTGAGCTACAAGGCTCGTGCAATCAATGACAGGGTTTCTGAGGAATCTTGGAAGCAAAACACAGTGCAACTACAGTGGTTTACTAGCTTGAGAGCCCGGCTAATCTACTCTCTAAGGGAGTCTCCTGCTCCTTTTATCTTTATTCACAGTGGATATGACTTACAGAATATTTCTGATGGTATTAGGTTTTTCTTGCCTCTCAAGGAGGCACTATACAATATTTATAGCACTATTTGTCTCTCTAAGGGATCTGCAGCGAGATCCTTGCTCTTCATTTGCAGGACTCTCCTTGATTTTAGGAGGGGATCTTGGGTGGTTGAGAGTTTCACGTCTTGATGACTGCCCTTTAGTTGTTCTGTGGACTCTTCTTACTGACCAGTTGTTCTTTCCTTGACTCCTCTGATTTTTCATCGGAGAGGAGCTCGGGAATTGGGCTTCAGAGCTTTGAGCTCCCCCTCAAACCTCCTTGTCTGACCTCGTTTCCTGAGCTCATACTTGGTTAAATTCTTATTCACGTATCATCAGTTGCCCCCCAGCTCTTGGTTCAAGCAAGCTTGAGCAAGGGCTGAACTTAAACTGGAACAAAGTAATCCCCCATTTGGTGACCTCGATGTTTGTGCGGACAAATTTTTTACAGTTACCAATGATCATTTCTCTTCTCGTTTCTCGCACACGTTGTCCACTTCAAAATCCCTTGTGCTGTTAGCTTTAAATGCTCTTGGATTAACGGGTCACTCTTCACTCTTTCGAATTCTCTCTGGTTCTTTTTTTTACTTTCTTGCAATTTCATCTTCCCCAATTTGTCGTCGTCCTTAGGGTTTCTTAGAGACGATTTCCTTAATTTGACCTGAAGGCTTAGTGTGGCTTGATTTTGGACTTCATTCTCGTGCTTTAATCCATCGTTGGTTCTCGTTTAGGTATGTCTTTCATCCCTTTCCCAGTTCCTCGTTCTGGATCCTCAAATCTAAGGTGGTTAGTGCATTTTTAGACTTTTCGGTTCTGCTATTTTAGGAATCGAAACCTCTCCCTGTCTCGTATCCTTCTCTTTCTGGATCTTTACTCCATGACTAGGATTTTCGTTATTGGTCGTTGGTGTCTTGCCCCCTGACTCTCTAAGAGTGTTTCTCAGAGGTTCCCCCGCTTTATTGGTCCTTTAAACTTCCTTTCTCTTACTCAATTATGTCCACCTCCTCTGAAGCCACGAGTTCGTCCATTTCTCTAATGAGGGATAGGTCCGCTGAGGGCTCTGATCTAGGAGATGTGGGACAGGAAATTGATAATTTCCCTGGCGTGGATTCTGTTGACGTCGGGGTAGGTTCTGAGGAATCTCTTTTGCCACCCCCTGCTCTTAAAAGTCCTAGCAAGGGAAAAATCAAGGTGAGCGGCGTAGGAATTTTTGACAGTGCCGAGGGCGGAGGTACTGCTCCCAGGGCTGCCGAGCTCGTGGGTTCTAGTGACATCGTTCCTTCTTATTTGAAGGTTCTAGCTACCCGCTTTGGCTTTCCTCAAGGTGTGCAGTTCTGGAGCCCAGACATGTACACCTTGTATGACTCTTCCATCCTTAAAAAAGTCTGTTTCTTCATAGCCGCTTTTGAGAATGGCTTTCGCTTTCCCATGCACCCTTTTATCAAGAGCGTCTTGTAACATTTCAATGTCTGTCCTGCCTAGCTTTCGCCTAACTTTTGGGGTGTGCTGGTTGGTCTCCTTATTTTCTTCAAAAAACACAATCTTGGGGTTCCTACTGTACCTTTGCTCGTGAGATTTTTCAACGCAAGTACACCCCTTCTGATGGTTTTTTATATATCTCCAAGCGTGTGAAAACCAAGGTTCTTATCTCCGACCTTCCGAGCTCCCACGAAGGTTAGAATTTTTTTTTCTTTTTCGTGTGGGGGAGAGACTAGGAGTTCAATTCCACCGACGTGACAGATACTCTTCCAATTCCTCGGGGCTGGTCTATCCCCGACAACTTATATTTTTGGGTTTTTTTCGGTCATCAACATTCTCAAAAAAAAAAATACAAAAATCAGCGACCATTCCCCATTTAAAATAAGTACAGAAATTGCTGTAGAAATCATAGCCGCATATATGTGACAGAACAAACATAGATCTTAATGAACGTACCTGTTTGTCGTTTGCAGAAAAAAAGGTTCAGCAACATGAAGATCTGCTTAGGGAGATACCAGCGTCAAGATCTGCGAAGGGAGGCAAACGATGGTTCAGCGTCTTCAGGGAGGCAAACGATGGTTTAGCGTCTTCAGGGAGCAGAGTGACTGTTCAGCGAATTCAGGGAGGTGAAGGATGGTTCATCGTCTTCATATTTGGTTGACTGATTGTTCAGCTTCTTCAGGTAGGCGAAGGGGTTTGTTGGGGGAGGCGAGTGATCGAGTCGCTAGGGTTTGTTGGGAGAAACTCGGATTTTATATGGGTCATTGTAGATGAGGGCATTTGGATCTTTTTATCATATAATACCTCCATGAAATTTATACCGAAATATTATATCACCGGGTAGGTGGTATTCAATAGCACCTTATAGGAGGCATTATTTGCACTGTTCATTCCGAGTCAGTGTTATGACCCGAAAAATAGTACCTACTAAAAAACGCAAAACAAACACGATATAACGTAGGGTCCACGTACTATTTTACTTATACCACCCTATTATACCACCCTTATACCTCAAACAAACAGCCCCCTAGTGTTCTTATTTGATGGATTATGCCTCTGGCTAATCATTTGTTGTATTTGGTGTCAGATGCACCACTGTGAACTTGAGCAATGTGATGTAACACACCTTCTGAATGGAGTGTTGTAAGAGATGATTTTGGCAAACTTTTCCTGGAATTAAAATCTGAGACACATACAGTGATGACGCTCAGCCAATTCAGATTCAGCTCTTTATTAGAAGATTTTTACTTGCTTTTTGTCTTTGGGCATTTTGTGCATTAATCTGGACCACTTTTATTTCTTGTTATTTTTCTTTCTTTGATTATTATTTTAATTATGTTTTTTTGGCCCTGATCAGAACCATTTTCATGCCAATAGCTTGCAATAACCCCCCACTGCACCCTCTGATGTAGAACGAGAAGGACTAGAAATCACATAATAGAAAGAGAAGAAGAAATAAGAGGGGGTGGAAGGGGTTTACCTCATCCTCACAAGGAATTGGTGAAGAAACACATAAATTCTCCACGAAGAACCACTTTTTATTATATCATTTTCTCTAATTAAAAATAGTTGGGATTACACCATTATTTATAGGTCAAGTCCCTACTAAAATAAAAACTACTTTCCTACTAAAATATTAAAAGAGCTTCATAATCAAACTCTCAAATTCCTATCCTACTAAAACTCTATAACAATTTCTTAATCAAACTCTAATTACTACTATTAGTCAAACAAATATTCCTTAACTAATAAAATAATATTAAAATAAATAATAAAATTCAATTATTAAATTTAAGTTCATCCAATCTCTTTTCGATCTTTATCAATACTTTCCGGCTGAAAAAAACTCTTCTCCGAAGAGTTGGAAGGCCACAAGTATTGCAAAAAATCTAAAGAAGCTTATGTTCCAAGAAAATAGTATTGTAAATCTCTATAATAGAAAGTAATTCCTTCGTGCATTGCATCCATCACAGTCTTATCCACATACACTATTATTATAAGCGAAGCAAGCATATAATTTAGTGGAGACAAAATAGCAACTCCATTTGTAGTGGCACCATTTGAAACTCCTTTAACTTCTTCTATAAGAATATCCTTTGAGATTAGCTTATCAAAAGCAATTGATGTATAATGAGGAGAACTTTTAGGCTCATCAACGGTATATGATTTTAGCTCATCATTCAATTGAACTGGAACTTACAGTTGTGGAGGAACTTCTTGGGACAAAGCTTGTTCAACTATTTTTTGATGATCAATGGATGGAGAAGCCCTTTTGCTATTTAGAAGTTTAATGAGCCCGTCAACTTGATTACGTCAAAAATTCAATTAGAAAAATACACGCGTTTCATCAGAGTGAGTTAGTAGGGATATTTTAGATGATAAAAAAAAGGTTAAAATCGTATTTGGTCCTCAAACTGTAGATTGCTTCGTTAAAAATTCAATTGCTATTTCTTTGGTAAACAAATTGATGAAACACAAATTAGTTTTATGCACCACACGTCAAGTAATTAATAACTAATGCAGTAATTAAGTAGAAAGAGAGTAACACAAGCAAGACAAAGATGTAGAGTGGTTCGATCAATGTGACTTACTCCACTATGAAGGGCTAAGATTGTCTAGTGTTTTATTACTTGGAGAAGTGTAAGGAGATCAAAGAAGAGTGATGGAGGTACAAGCTATGAGAGAGATGAGAGTGATAACAGTTATGTTCGATGCCTCCCATGTATTGGCAGGGCTTGTAATTTATAGTGCCTCTTAACAGACTGGGATGCATTTTTAGTAACTAAGTAGCTAATTTGGTGGAGCTGACACTATCCTCTCAACGACTAAGGCGGTTATGGAGCTCCCCTTAAGATCAAGTCAAAGGATGCCGTTGTTGACTTTTTTCAAAGTGACGTGGATGAAGCTCTTGGGATGACGTTGTCTACTCTTTGATGGCATAACTCATGAATTCCTGATGAGCTTGATTAGGTGTGAGTTCTTTTTGGGTTGGACCCATTGAATTTCATCTAGTTGGGCCTTTATTCCAATTGTGCTTATTACCTATGTTGGGCCTTTTAGGCCTGGCCCATCACAAATAAACATTTCAAACTTGTAATTTTATTGACAAACGTTAATCAAATACTCAAATAGATTATATAGAGAAGACAAATAACTAGAGCTCAGGCAGTGGAAAAGCAAACTATTAGGCCTTAGTAAGTGATCACCTTACTCGTGGCGTGTTCGACATTTACTGGTGTTATAGATAAGTAAGCCGAAACCTTGTTTCAAAGCTTTAGCAATCAATTATCCAACTCGACTCGACCAATTAATAGTTCAAGTAAGGGGCTTTTTGATAACACAACTTAAAACTTGAAATTGATTAGTTTAAGTACTTAATAAATTAAATTCGTTTGATAACTTAAAATTAATACTACTTAATATTTTAAGCACTTCTTAAAAATAAGTTAAAATTTAAGTAGGAAACAACCTACTTATCACTTAATGATGAAAATATTAATCTATAAGGATTTTATCAATTTCTCATAATGGACAAATATACACTCACTACCATTGTGTCATCGTCATCACTACCAACACTAGCAGCACCACCACCACCATTGTACCACCGCCACTATCACCATCACTACTGCTGCCACGACTACTACCACCACCACCACCATTGTGCCACCGTCACCACCACTATCACTGTCACTATCACTTTCACTATCATTGTGTTTTCAGTGTTCAATTTTCAGTTTTATTAAATACCACATAAATTGGCGACTTGTACCAAAAATGGCAATTATGGGAAATAAGCGATCATTTTTTTATACTCAATGATTAATTACCATCATAAGTCTCATACACAATTTTTACAATTAATTCTAAACAAATTATTAACTTACTCAAAAGATTAAGAACGACAGGACGAATAAGGACCCAACATGCCTATAAAAAAGACTTGTCTACGGTACCCAAAAAAAGAATTTTGATACCATACTAAATTTTATAGTATTTATGGGTGTTTTTATCATATTTTGTTGTTGTTTTTATTATTGTCATGGTACCAAGAAAATAAAAATAATTACAACAATAGTGATAAAAACACCCACAAATGTGATAAGTCACCCATAAAAGTGATAATTTTTTTTATACAGAAGAAAAGTAGTAAAAATTAGAGGATCTTTAACCATGACTTAAATTTTTAATCAAATTTAAATTAAAATTAGAGTAAAAAAACTTGATTTCAAATAAAGGGCTCCAATAGACAAACTCAAATTTAAAAAAGAAAAAACTTAAATTTAAATATGAGAAAACTCGGATTTAAAAGAGAACAAAGATGACAATTGGATATTTAAAAGAGGAAGAAATTTCATCATTAAAGATTTAAGTAAAAATTTGAGTCCCCCTTGATTTGAGTGAAAAAAAGAGTCTCCCTTAATTTAATATAAGTTTGAGTCAAAGGTTGAAGTAAGTTTTGTGAGTTTTTTTACTCAAATTTAAATTTGAGTAAAGGTTGGAAATATTCTTAGTACAATTTAAAATTTATACCATAATATTGGTTAGAGTTGCATCAATTAAAGTCATAGTTACGACATCAATGGGTAAGGGTACAACAATTAGAGTAAAGTTACCAGTACTTTGGATAAAGTTATTACATTTAAATGTCACATTACAAAGTTTGTGAGTTAATTTACGGCATAAATGTGTTAAAATTACAACAATTACTTTGGATAAATTTACAACAACTTTGGTAAAATTACAATAATTAAGGGTACATTTACTATAGTTTAGGATTAAGTTAAAATAATACTAGGCAAAGTTACAAGAGTGTAGGCCAAACTTACTATTGTATTGGTTAAAGTTACAATATACGTGGGTAATATTGCAAACTTTACTTAAAGGTAAATATACATCAACTATTGTATCCCTACCCTAAATGGTGGTAAATTCGCTCTAAATACTAATAACATCACTCAAAATTATTGTAATATTACCATAAAAGTTGTAATATTATCCCTAACAGTGATAATGTTACCCCAAATAATAGTAAAATTTTTCCAAATAGTGGTATATTCACCCAAGTCATTGTAATAGCATTCCAAACGATGGTATTTTCAACCTAATTAAAATTCAATTTCATCAATCAACATTTATTAATATTTAATTAATCAAATTTACACCAAATTAACTTTTAATTCATCCAACTAACATTAAAATTTATCAAATTAATATTCAATTTCATTAAATTAGCATTCAATTCATCTAATTATTATTCAAATTCATCTAATTAACATTATATTTCTCAAATTTACATACAAAGTCATCCAACAAACATTCAATTCATCAAATCAACTCCAAAGTACAATGCAATTTCATTCAATTAACATTTATTTTATCAAATTAACATCCAAATTCATCTAATTAATATTAAATTCATCCAATTTATATTCCAGTTCATTTGATTAACATTCAATTATCACACTAACAATAAATTAACAGTCAATTCATCAAATTAAAATAAACTTATTATTCAATTCATCAAATTAGAATTCTAATTCAACTGGTGAATACTAAATTTATTAAATTAATATTCAGTTTCATCCAATTAATATTCAATTCGTCAAATTAACTTTCAATTCATCCAATTTATATTCAAACTCCTCTAATTAACATCCAAATTCACCCGGTAAATATTCAATTTATTAAATTAACATTCAAATTCAATTGATTAACATTAAATTCACCAAATCAACATCCAAATTTGCTCAATTAATATTTAATTCAACAAATTCAAATCAAACTAACATTTAATTAATGCAAATTATATTAAAATTCATCCCATTAACACTCAATTCATAAAATTAAATTCTAAAATTATCTAATAAACATTCAATTCACCAAATTAACATGTAATTTCATCAAATTAACATTCAATTCATCAAATAGACATCAAATTAACACACAAATTAATTCAATTGCATTCAATTTATCAACTTAACAATAAATTATCACACAACATCATCAAATTAACGTTGAATCTCGTTTAGTTAATATTCAATTCATCAAATTTAACACAATTTTTTTTTAAGCAAACTCAACTAGAATGGTTTCACATACTAAGCCCATCCAAATATAAGCATTTCTTGCCACTCTTTTATTTAGTAGTTCATACATTACACAACACCATAAATGCCAAATGCACCTGAAAGTGTTCATGGCATAAAGCAAGAATAAGTTCCTAAAAGCTCATACTACTAAAAACTAAGTTGGGCCAAGCCATACAGTTTGCCCTCATTATTTGTCAATTTATTGGAAAAACCTTTCCCATGGCTGCTGAGATTCAAATAAAATTCTTCTCCTTCAAGTTTTTCACAGTTTCCTTGATGCTATCCTCAAGGGAGGTGAAGTTAATACCCAAGCTTTTTGCTCTTTCTTTGGAGACTTGGTATGTTGGCACGAAAGGCTTGTCATCTGCACACTTTTCTGGAAGTTGAAAAGAAGGATACAACTCGTGTAATATCTTCACAATTTCTGAATAATGTGCAACTTTCTCGACCAAACAGTATCTTCCACTTGCCGAAGGAACTTCAAATGCCTGAATATGTGCATAGCAACATCTTTGACATTAACCCACCCAAAGCTAGCATTTGGATATGTTTGTGCTCCATTTATTAAGTTCAAAATTGCAGCAGGACTCGTATTAAGTGTTGGCTGTAACAGAGGACCAATGGCCATTGCTGGGTTTACTGCAACCATGTGAATACCTTTCTCTGTTGCAAATTTCCAGGCAGCATCCTCAGCCAAAGTCTTCGAAAGCGCATACCAAAGCTTCATTTCCTTGCCAACCTCCAGATCAGACCACCAAGTCTCATCAGTGATCACATCAGGAGTCCGAGGCTTTCCATTGTATAAAACTGCAGCTATAGAAGACGTCAAAATCACTCTTTTAACAGAAGGGGCTCTGGCACAAGACCCCAGAACATTTAGGGTTCCATTTAGGGCAGGATCAATTAATTCTACCTGTGGATCCATGGCCGCATAGTAAAATGGAGATGCTGTATGATAAACACCTTCACACCCATCAACCACTGCATCAAAGGAACCTTCTTCTAGTAGGTTTGCTTTAAACAAGTGAAGTCTATCCTTAGCCCCATCAAGTGCAAGTAAGTGTTCTGTCTTCTTTGGTTCATTGAGGTCACGAAAAGAGGCTTTGACAGTGTACCCACGTTGGAGCGAGAACTTGACAAGCCATGAAGCTATGAAACCGGTGGCTCCCGTCACACACACGGTCGTCTTCTTCTCTCTCTATTAAGGGAGTTTGAAACTGAGTTTGATTCCTCACTCCTCAGTCTCATGCTCTCGATTTATGGGCTCAATGAGGGACTCACCTATTCTCTCTCATTTTTTCTTGGTAATATTGTGTGCCATCCAATCAATTAATTCCTGACAAAAAAAAAATCAATTAATTAATACAATTAATAATATTGTCATCCAATTAGCATTCAATGCATCAACTTAATATTCAATTTTATATAATTAACATTTAATTTCTCAAATTAACATCTAATATCATCCAATAAACATTAAATTCATCAAATAAACAAGAAATTAATAAACAGTTCATCAAATTAATATAAAATTAAAATTTAATTAATCAACTTAATAATAAATTAATATTAAAATATAAAAATTGCTCATACATAAACCCCAAATAATATTTCAACATAAACTTTGATTAAAATTCAAGCCGATTAAAACTCATTTTTTTACGTACTAAAATTCGAGTTGATTAAAAATTTTTTTTTTACATATTAAAATTTAAGCCAATTAAAATTCAGGTTCGAGTTGATTAAATTTTATTTTTTATATATTAAAATTTGAGCCAATTAAATTTTTTTCTAAGTATTAAAATTCGAGTTAATTTGAGCTCAACCTGAGTTGTTAGTGCCTCGCATCGATTAAAAATCAATTCGAGTCAATTGAAATTTGTATTTTTTGTACTTCTTAAAATTTGTATTCGATTCAAGTGGATCAAAATTTATATTTTATGTATTAAAATTTGAGTCGATTAAATTTTATATTTTTTTATGTATCAAAGTTCAGGTCAATTAAAATTCAATACGAGTTGATTAATATTTGATAAGAATTGATTAAAAATCGAATTGAATTTTAATTGACTCAAATTTTAATAAGTAAAAAAAATTTAATTTGTAATCAACTAGGATTTAATAAATAAAAAATATATTTTAATTAGCTTGAATTAAATTTTAATTAGCACGAATTTTAATAAGTAAAAATATAAATTTCAATTGACTTGAATCAAATTTTAATATTTAGTTTCATCCAATTAGTATTTAATATATCAAATTAATATTTAATTTTATCCAATTAACATTCAACACTTCAAATTAATAAGGAATTAGCATTCATCTCATCAAATTAATATAAAATTATTATTGAACATGAAATTGAATTTAATACAAAATTGAAGATGGATTTGGTGTTAATTTGATAAAATTAAATTTTAAATTGATTAAATCAAATTTTAATTTTGGTGTTGATATAATGATTTGGATATCGATTGGATTAAATTGAATGTTAAATTAATGAATTTTAATGTTAATTTGATAAAATTGATAGTTAATTTGATGAATTAGATAAATTTAATTGATAAATTCAATAATGTTAATGTTCATTTAATAAAATTCATGATCAATTTGGTTTTTTATTTGATTAAATGAATTTTAATAACTAAATTTAAAGGTGAATTAGATGAAATTGATGGTAAATTTAGTGTTGATAAATGAATTGAATCTTAACTGGAAGAAATTTAATGTTAAATTCATGAATTTTGAATTGATAAGATCAAAAGTTAATTTAGTGTTAATTTAGTGAATTAGATGAAGTTTATGTTCATTTGATAAAATTGGCTATCAGTATGGTATTAATTGTATGAAACTAAAAATAAATTAAATTAAAGGTGAATTGTTTTTTAATTTGACAAAATTGAATTTTAATTTAGTATTTATTTGGATAAAATTGAATATTAAATTTGGGAATATCAATGTTAATTTTTAAAAATTGATGGTCAATTTTTTGTTAATTTGATAAAATTTAATTTTAAATTGATAAAATTGAATGTTAATTTGAGGAATTAGATCTCAATTGTATGAAAGTAAACATTAAATTCATGAATGTTAATGTTTATTTAATAAAATTGGAAGTTAATTTGGTGTTAATTTTATGAAATCAAATTTTAATAAATAAAATTGAAGGTGCTTTTTTATTAATTTGGTGAAATTGAATTTTGAATTGACGCAATTAAATGTTTATTTGATGCTAAATTTTAAATTTTATTTTGAATTGATGAAATTAAATTTTATGAATGTTTGCAATCTATGACAAGAACTTGAGATCTATGACAGTTACTATAGTCTCCACCAAAAGTGGTTTCCTCACCCAAATTTGGTAACCTGTAACTAATCTTATTGAAAAAAAATAAGTTTGGAGTCGATTACAAACATCTATGAACGATCGTAGTTAATAGAAGTGAGTTTTATTGAAACCTAGAGATTGGTGACCGATCACAAACATTTTAGATAATATTAACACCATATTGGTTATATTTAATATTTTTACAAATAATATTATCATTGTTGTGGTAAGATTTACGAAAATCTTGGGCAATTTACCACAATTAAGGAGAGATTTATGATATGTGAGGATCAATTTACAACAATGAAGGGTATATTTATCACCTTTGAGGGTCAATTTACAACAATTGTAGATAAATTTATCACAATTAAGAGAAGATTTGCCACCTTTGAGGGACAGTTTACCACAATTAAGGCAAATTTACCACTGTTCTGAGTAAGCGTACCAGATTTATGAACATATTTATAATTTTAGAGAATCATTTACGACTATTTTTGTAATATTTACGACATATGTGGGTAAGTTTATGATGATCAAAGGTAAATTTACTACAGTTTATGTAAGATCCCGTATTAAAATTAATAAGATTAATATTATCTTAAGAGTTCTCCTAAAATAAATAAAATGATAGTAGAAAATTAGAATCATTATTAGAATATTGATATTGAAGTTTGAGTTTCAAGCATATTGACTTTTGGAGTAAATTGAATTTTGGAGATGTTTATGATTGAGAAGGGTAGATAAGTAATTTTATAAATATTTTTAGCTCAAAATAAGGTTTCCAATGAATCTGGCAGGTCGAAAAATATCGAAAGATATTATATGAGTTGTATTAGAAGTTTAGAAGTATTCTAGATAGGGATGGCAGTGGACCGGAGAAAAACGGGTATTTGTTCAAACCCATCCCGTTTGGACCGAGGATAGACTATACGTATTGGACGGTCGACGTATACGGGGATACCCATCACTACAAGAAAAATATTTTTTAACAGCAAACAAAGTCGTCGCTAAAAGTGAATAATTCGCTGCTAAAAGTTTTTTGCGACAAAAAAGTTTTCTAAAGAGTGGCATTTTATGATTACTATTATTCTTGTAACAAATCAAAATAAATTCATTGCAGTGTTTCAATCATTGAAGATCATTATAATACTTTTTGGCAACGAAACATAATATTTTTCACAGAATGTCTTTTTTTGTGACAATTTTTTTAACATATCGCAAAAAGTTGTTGTAGTAAAACGTTTTTGTCGTCGAAAATCACTTGTTTACGAGAAATTTTATTGTTCATCACCAAAACTTGTTGCTAAAAATCATATTTGTTGTAGTGCATATAAACCCGTACGGGGATAATAACGAGGATGGACTTACCCTTACCCTCGGCCTGCTTTTGTTATACCCGTTAAATAAATAAATATATATATATATATACACTCCCAGCCCTAACTAACTCTTTTGAGTCTCCTCCGTCAGCTGTCTCTCCCATCTTTCCATCCCTCCATCGTCTCTCCCTCATTCCAGGTTTCCATCGTCTCTAAGTAATCTTGCCAACTACTGTTCCTCAACGCCAAGTCCAAGTAATCTTGACGATTGCTCCTCACAGCCTAACAAGTCAATCATCTCTCTCCCTCTCTATCTCTTGACACACACACACACATTGAATACATGTACATGATTATGCTCGGCAAAGATTAAGTTGTCTCATCTATTGGATTCTTATGTACACATTCAAGTCTTACAAAGTGCCACAACTTAAAAATGGTGAAGTGTAATATGGTTTAAAACCCCTATTTTCGTCTCATCCTATTACATTTTTGGTTCTTGGAACAACTTTTTTGTAGATCACCTCATGTAGTGTGTTCATTTTTTTCATTTCTTAAACTATAAATTCAAATGCTTGTCAGTTTTAAATGTTGATAATTTTCGTGTGGATTTCAACATCAATCTCTGTACTGGTATGCTAATCGTATCTGGGGTGATTTATTCTGTAAACCAAATATCATTAGGCAATTTTTTGTCACTGCATAACTCACTTTTTCTTCTTGTTTTGTTCCCTCTTTTTTGCTTCTCAAACAAGGCTTCTCTTTTGAATTGATTTGTTCCACAATGCTGCAATCTATGTTTATATGGGTGGGGCATTGCTGGAAATTTTGCCTTATCAATGTCTGTGATGCTGCAGCGTTCTAGGGCTGGATTTTGTTCTTTAAATTTAAATTTTTGTTAACATCCTCATCTCTTTAATATTCATCTATATAGGTTTTGTTACAAAAGCACAAATGTGATTTTCGTTGCCTTGCTTGTGTAATTTTTTTCTTTCCAGTTTGATTTACATACATTGATCAATGATGCTCCACTGGGCTTTGGCATGGCCTTAGGCTAGAGCGGGTACGGGGGAAGTGGGGACGGGGACAAAAATTAAATATTTACCCGTGGACGGAGATTGAGATGAAAACTATACCCGTTAACGAGGATGGATACTACAACCCCCGCCCCCTCTTCAGTCTACTGACATCTCTAATTTTAGAGTTAAAACCTACTTTAGAGAGGATTTTGGTATACCACCGTATTGGTTAAAGTTTGTTCACTTTTGTTGTAGTTTTGTCCACTATTGTTGTAAATTTTTCACTGATGGTGTAAATTTGTCTATTGTTGTTGTAAATTTTTCACTAATATTGTAATTTTTTCACTAATGTAATTTTGTCACTGATGTCACTAATGTTGTAAATGTCTTTTTAACTATATTTGTAAATTTCTCACTAACGTTGCAAATCTTTCACTATTGTTGTACTAATATTTGTATATAAAGACAATGTAAACAAACAATCAATGAAACCGATTACCTTATCTTTTGTTTTTAACATGGTACCAACAAATTAAATGATTGTATCGGAGATGAGTCTAAAAAACATAGGATACACCACAATCGCCATGACAATAATATTAAGGA